CAACATCTATTGCAACATCAACAACACCTATTGAAACAGCAAAAATATCAACAAGCGATACTCCTACTAGTAGCGTCAATGAAACTTATGCTTTATCAACCACTTCCACCGCAGTTACAAGGTAAATTATATATAAACTCATTTTTAAAACTTTTTTTGTTGATTAACTAACCGACTGTAAAATAAAATTAATTTTTCAGTGACAATCCAGTTACTGTTACCCCGACCCCACAGTCAGCAATTGGTTCTAATTTAAACATTAGCCATATTTTTTCATTTAACGTTATAATATCAATCATTATTTTTATTATTCAAACAATGTTTTGAAAAGTTAAATTTGTTGTACATTGTTAATATTAATATTAGATTACCTTAATTTGATAATATTTTTGTTTTATTTGATGTCTTCTTATTTATTAAACATTTGTTCGTGAGAATTGTGGCAAAACTTTGCAGACATCATTATTTATGTCATACAAAAATTTCAGGGATTAAAATAATGAAATTTTGGCAATGTGGCACAAAAATAGGACACACAAGATTTAAATCTTGGCATAAGGGGATCATAACAACAATAGAAATGTTATATCGAGTTGACAAATTTAGGATTCTTAATATTATTGACTTGCTGCCGAGTTGATTTTCATCAATCTTTAAAAATGAAACCTTCATCCGTTTCAATCGAATAACTATCGTTCGGAGACCTTTCTTTTATATTCCAACAAACTGGGTTGTAATTCACCAGTTTGTTTAATTCAAAGCCGATCTTGCCATCTTGAGTGTCTTTGATGGATTAATTCAAATTCATATTGCGTGAATAGCTTTTTGGTTAATACCGATTACTTTACGTTTTATGATATTTTTATGTTGAAAACAACTTGCAAACTTTACAATTGATACCTAACCATAAACAGATTCAAGATCCTATATATCAATTATATATATATCAATAATTTATTTATAACTCAGAATTTCCATAAATATATATTAAAAAAATTTTTATATAAAAGAAATTTAAAAAAGATGACAATGATAAAAATTAAACTATTGTCCGCGTTTCTAACAAAGCTATAATAATAGTAAATAGAATGTTTTTTATAAAAAACAATACTGTGCAGCATAAATAAACCTATCTTTTAAAAATAGAGTTTTAAAAACACCCTTCGCCGATCAATTCATGAATTAGTTTGCCTTTTGAAGATAAATTCTTCTGAATATATATATATATAAAGAATCCATTTGGGATCCACATACTAGCCTAATACCTAGTGAATTTTCCGAAAGCTTATTTAATGCGGATGATGTCATTTGGGGCATTCCCCTAAAAAATTTTTTCAAAGATTTTCTTTTAATAATTAAAAAGCAAGATGGTAGCAAAACAACCAAAATCAGGTTTATTTATAGGCTTAAATAAAGGTCATAAAGTAACGCCTAGAGAATATAGACCAAAACCTTCTCGAAGAAAAGGGGTAATTAATTTGAAATTATAAAAATTATAATTCTTTTAAATATATATATATATATATATATATATATACTTAACAATTTTTGTTAATAAATTAGAAAATATCTAATAAAACAAAATTTGTGAAAGATTTGATTCGTGAAGTAGTTGGTTATGCACCATATGAAAAACGTGTTATGGAATTGTTGAAAAATTCTAAAGATAAACGTGCTAGAAAGTTGGCTAAAAAAAGAGTATGTAAGATCAAATAAATATCTAGATATTTTTTATATTTATATTAATATTAATAATACATTATTTAAAAAAACCATTTATAAGCTTGGTACATTTGTTCGTGCAAAAAGAAAAGTCGAAGAACTTAGTAATATTATTGCAGAATCTCGCCGTGCTCATTAATTGATAATAAACAATAACTTTATATTTGTCTATTTATACCTTTACCATTTTACAATATAAATTAAAAAAAAGGCTTTAATTTATCAAATTTCTCTAGAGGAATATCAGTCTTTGTAAATGTTTCAATTATTGCAATGTTAATTGTTTCACAATCATCAGTAACAAAAGAAGCCAAAGATCTTTGTAAAGGCTATGGTGTATTTTATGCCTCTATATAGATTATCAACAACAGACTTCTTTTCATGGTTTACAGTATGATTGCAAAAACAACACATTAATTTTCCTGATTCAACATAAACATAATGACTTTTTTCCTGAGACGTTCTAATGCAGTAACCATCATTTTATCAATCACTTTACATAAAAGTAAAATGAACAATTATGCCAATTATGTGAAGGCATAATCCTGGGCACTCGGGCCAATATTCCCAAGTAATGTAACAAATGACATTTTTCCAACACGAGTTGTATTTATATATGATGTTAGTCTTCCGCATCTGCGGTAATTTAGACAAGTGCTTACTTACCCAAACAAAATGCTCGTCTGATTTTGCTTCGCCACCATTTTTTATCAACCCACACGGTAATGGTTAATTTTTGTATCTCAAGAATGTGTGATTGGCCAAACATTTTATGATTTCTTCTGTTCGAACTTGCGTTTATAACAACTTGTCGTTGACCCCAACTCCCGCTAACAATTTCTTCTTCAATTATAGTGGATAATCTAGTAATGGCAGGTGTTGATGTTTCGTAGTTGATGATTTTATTTTCTTGTAAAAGTGTTATGATCGATTATAATGGCTGGAATAGTGATTCGTTCGGTAATGACAATGATTGAAGGTTCCTCTAAAGGATCAAATACCACGTTAATTAATGGCATTGGTCAAAAACTCATCACTATATTTAATAAAAATTCAATACGGAATGACATTTTTTGGTATTTAGTTTATTTGAGTGTTAAATAAATAATTGATAATTCTAAAAGGTAAAATTGCAATGGTCTTTTGTATAAAATATATGCTTCTTCCAGTCTTTTTATTCTTATGGGTGGTGTTCCTCCTACCATGCATCCTTTTTCTTCCACTATAAAATAGTGTGTTTTCTAACTTCAGTTCTCTCGGCCAAAATACTTAATCCCAATAACATATATAGGTTGACAATAGCCTTTTCAATAACGGGTATGATGACTCACTTACAAGATATTGTCCTGTCGTTATTACCAAAATAGCAAGCGTGTAATCCAAGTTCCTAGCCTTTGGCTGTCGAGCGTATAGTTACCCTTCTCTAGCTAGATTTCCGTTAGTTGTATAGCTAGTCACTAACCGCTTTCCTCGCTATCCAAATGGATAATCCTTTACAAAAAAGAAAAATAAAGAATGACAATTATATTTCCGAAAGGCATCCATCCCTTTGGTAATATAGTAAATAATTAAAGATTCTGTGACACTTGTTCCTTCAGCAAAGGTATTCCACAAACTTCAATTTGTTAAAGAATAATGTAATGCAAAGTGGTATTATTTTTATTATCAAGGTGTAAAATGTAACAATTTACAAATAAAGAAATATTAATATTAACTAGTGAGTGCTAACAACTATTAGTAACGTAATTTGCTTTAGTGAATAAGCAGAAGTTAGGGTTAACTAGTGAATGTTAAATAAAGTATTGTCTATAGGTTAATTGGAAATACCGGTAGTATTATTGTAATCTTAAACGTAAGGCTGTTAAACAAGTCATTCAAATTATTTTGTAAATGCACCAAAGTGAGTTTAAAAGGAACTTATAGCATTGTAAAATGGCATCTTTAATACCTATGGATTTTCCTGGTCACTTGATTGATGTTTAAAATACTACTTGCAGGTTGCACCAGGTATTTAAATTTTGAAATGAAGCATCAGGAGTAATTACCGGTATTAATAGAGTTTGATAATTTCATCAAGATGATGCACGCATGTTTTGTAGAGAATCACAAATATATAACATTGGCATTTATGAAAAAATATATAGCGATCTCAAGCTCCCATATTATGCGATATTTTTATCTACAAGTCATGAATAAATTAATCAAATTACATTGGTGAACTTTCAGAATGTGATATTTCTGAGAAATCACTTAAAAGGCATGGTAGATGATGTTCACCATCGTAGCAACAATTTAATTGGGATTTTCAACTTCTAAAACGATTTAAATTAAAATGTTGAGATTAAAGCAACTTAAATAAAGCACTACATCATGCCATCTTTGAATCAATAAAAATTATGATGGCAATCTTAATAGAACATACTGACTTTTTTGGTCGAGTCAATAATTATTGATTATGCAAATCAGGTCAAGCAATCTTTATCAAATAGTAAAAGACGTTTCCAATATTTTATAATTCAAAACAATAGCTTTAAATAATACAATGCATTTTATTTTGGCGCCACTCAAACTGTTGTTAATGTTCATCAGCGTGATGGAAGTTCGATTGAAAACACGATTATAGAACTACTACTATCACATTTTGATTGCTTATAATGTTTGTTATATTTTTATTTTTATTTTTTTGGCCATTGACTTTTTTGAATCTCTCGTTTTATATTTTCTTTGAAATTTTCAATAAATGATATGCTACTTCTTGTACTCTTATCAATATATGGGATAGCTATTAGTTATCCAAAACAAAACAAGCCTTTTAATAAATTTATATGTAAATATAAATATTACTTTTTATTATTATTTAAAATACCTTCTTCTGTTATTTTTGTTAGTCTTTTATGTGTATAAATAGCAAATCTATGAAATGCAGGACTTTCAAGGAGCTAAAAACAATAAAATAAATGTATCAGAGATATTTTGCCATCTTTGAATCAATAAAAATTATGATGGCAATCTTAATAGAACATACTGACTTTTTTGGTCGAGTCAATAATTATTGATTATGCAAATCAGGTCAAGCAATCTTTATCAAATAGTAAAAGACGTTTCCAATATTTTATAATTCAAAACAATAGCTTTAAATAATACAATGCATTTTATTTTGGCGCCACTCAAACTGTTGTTAATGTTCATCAGCGTGATGGAAGTTCGATTGAAAACACGATTATAGAACTACTACTATCACATTTTGATTGCTTATAATGTTTGTTATATTTTTATTTTTATTTTTTTGGCCATTGACTTTTTTGAATCTCTCGTTTTATATTTTCTTTGAAATTTTCAATAAATGATATGCTACTTCTTGTACTCTTATCAATATATGGGATAGCTATTAGTTATCCAAAACAAAACAAGCCTTTTAATAAATTTATATGTAAATATAAATATTACTTTTTATTATTATTTAAAATACCTTCTTCTGTTATTTTTGTTAGTCTTTTATGTGTATAAATAGCAAATCTATGAAATGCAGGACTTTCAAGGAGCTAAAAACAATAAAATAAATGTATCAGAGATATTTCAAAAAATTTAAAATAACTGATTATTATTTTTTTATAAACCTTTTCTGTAATGTATTTATTTGTCCTATGTAATAATAATCGTAAAGGCATTAGAAGAAATTAAATTTTTTAAAAATTTATTTTAACGATACAACTCAATCAAATCAGTGCAACATACTTTGTAACAATTTAGAAAAGATTGGCAATATTTTGCTTACATTCTGTTTTATCTTGATATAATTCTTGATTTTTATTGTGAACGTTGCTGGCATCAGTTGCAATGGAAATCTATTATTAATAAACAGAAGGCCTTTGATATTCTGTGCAAGAAAATAACAAATAGCAATGGTGACAGTACAGTTGTTGCATTTGGTGATGGTAAATTCTCATCAACATCATGTGGGGCCCTATAAAAGAATTTCGCTGAGAGCTTTCTAGACACTGCAGGATGGTGATAAGCATCAAAAATTCTGGTCTGTCAGAGTCTGCAAATCAGTCTATCTGACACATTGGAATCGAGATGTTAATGCTGCCCGTAACATAAGGAACATTTTTTTGCACACAAACACTTATGGAGAGAGACCTGATCCATTTATAAGGGGGACTTACTGACCTCTCTGCTGCCATTTTAACTGTGGCAGGATATGTCTAGCTGGTGGCAGCAGCAGCAATGATGACTTTCTATGAAGCCACAATTAGCTATAGGGAGGATTTGGATCTTACTGATTTAGTGTAATAAGGTTTACTTGTTATAGATTGTAGAATTTTACTATGGCGATCTGCATGTCACGTTTCTGCCAAACACATGTGCCACTTCAAAAATTTTTGGCTGAAAATGTTTCTATAATTAGCAATAATTTAGACACTTGGGTACATTTAATTTTACAAGATGCCAAAAATATTTTACGTAATAATTACCAACCAAATTTTGACACGGTGAATCTCGATTTAACGGTTCTTTATTAAAAGCTTTATAAATTATAGGAAAATGTTGTCCATGTTCAGAACACGTTTGCCTCTAGTTTCATCCTTTTCCTTTTCAAAAAGCTTTGTTAGAAATTATGCCTCAGAACATATCGTATATAATCTCCCTAAAGAAGACACGTACACAGGATATGAATGCGAGCCTCCGTCTTTAGAAGTTCAAATAACCAAAGAGGAAATAGTTCATATGTACAAGCAAATGGTAATAATGCGTAGAATGGAAGTTACTTCTGATGGTTTATATAAATCAAAATTTATTAGAGGTTTTTGTCATTTGTGTACAGGTCAAGTATGTATATTTATTTTAACAGTATGAATTTTATATTATAATACTACTATATACTATCAACTAATTTATCATGGATTTTTTTAAATTAGGAAGCAGTATCTGTTGGTATGGAATCTGCTATAACACCAGAAGATGCAGTTATAACTGCTTATCGATGCCACGGTTATACCATGGTAAGAGGTGCAACACCTTATCAAATTCTTTCAGAGCTTGCAGGTAACTAACTAATATTATTATTGACTCAATATTAATTGTTCAATTGATTAATTATATTCGTTCTATGATTAGGCCGTAAAACTGGCATTTCAAAAGGAAAAGGTGGCTCTATGCATATGTTTGCAAAAAACTTTTATGGTGGTAATGGAATTGTTGGTGCACAGGTATTATTATGAAGCTACAATATTATTATTAAAATCATGATAGTAAAATATGTATGTATATATATACATATTTAAGAGAACATTATATATTTGCATGTGTATGAATTGTATGTTTTTTACGTTAGATACCTGTTGGTACAGGAATAGCATTTACACAAAAATATAACAATACAAATAATGCCACATTTATTTTATATGGAGATGGTGCAGCTAATCAAGGACAAGTTTTTGAATCTTACAATATGGCCAAATTATGGAATTTGCCAGCAATTTTTGTATGTGAAAATAATTTTTATGGAATGGGAACATCTATCGACAGAAGTTCTGCGAATACACGATTTTACACTCGTGGACAGTATATCCCTGGTCTTAAGGTTAGTATTATAGTGATAAAATTTATTTTAATTGTATTTGTTTACCTAAAATAATCTTGATTTCTTTTGATTAAAAAATAACGATTAGGTTAATGGTATGGATGTAATGGCAGTTAAAAATGCGTGTTCATGGGCTAAAGATTGGACTGTTTCTGGAAAAGGACCTTTAGTAATGGAGATGGTTACTTATCGTTATGGTGGTCATTCTATGTCAGACCCTGGTACAACTTATAGAACAAGAGAAGAAATTCAACATATGAGAAGTATAAATGATCCAATTACCAAACTAAAGCAACGCATAATAGACATAGGCCTTCTTACAGAAACAGAGCTTAAGGTGACAATAATGATTATAATATTTTAAAACCCTAAAGAAAAAAAATTTTTTTTAAATATTTTTTGCTGTTAAAATATTAGCAAGTTGAAAAGGAAGCACGTACAATTCTTGAAGATGCATCTAAAAAAGCTCAAAGTGATCCATTACCTGATGAATCAGAATTGTATACTGATATATATGTTAAAGGATCAAACCCACCTCTTATACGTGGGAGAGAAAGTGAAGAATTTGGATTTGTAAAAGAATAAATTCGTTATATATTAATATTATTTTGTTTTAACAATCACAAAACGGGTTTATTATTTATTTGTAACTATTAATTTGTATAAATAGTAATTTAGATTATAATTAAATTTTTTGTTGTGGAGTTGTTTGATTTTTTTCATTTAAATCAAGTAAACCTGCTTTCTTTTAGCTTGACATATAACACGACATTCTCTAGCAGCTTTAGCTTTTGACAATGATCAATTATCGAAATTTTATGAATGAGAGATGCTTATAACTTATAACAATAATAATAATAATAATAATAATAATAATAATAATAATAATAATATAACATACACTAATAATTTAGTACCAGCCTTTTCAACTTTTACTTTACAAATATATTTATCAATATACACTTATTCTTGAAGACATTATCCTTTGATTTCATATATAATTTCTACCCTTTTCATTACTCACAAATGTTTATCAATTTTCTTGGCTTCTCTATATTTTCTCATGAATCTTCTCGTTTGTAATATATCTAATTTTCTCTTACTCTTAATTGAGAATAAATTGCTTGTGGTTTTCTATTAATAAGACCATCGTTTGCAAGTTTACGATTATTTTGACCTGATTAAACTTATCAAATAAATTGATACTTAATTAATAGATTCAATTTCATTTAAAAGTTTGTTGCGAGAATTGGGCATTAAAATTTTCAACAAAATATAGATCTTTCCAATATAATTTATTTTCTATACAGTCTATATTGTCTATAACGGATTAAAATTTTGGTCCCGATTTTTTACTATTTGAAATCTCTTTTTATAACAGATATTGTTAATTAAACTTTTTATTACGTATAACAGATTGTATCTGAAAATCGCTTCATATGACACATAAATCAACACTGCTATAACGGATTCACGTGATCTTAAATAAATGCATTCTTACCAAATCTAAATTAATTAATTCGTGTTTCGCCAATTATAACTTCCTATTGCTGCGCCACATATTCAAATTTTAAAATCAAATACTGACCAAAATTATCAAATAAATAAAAAAATAAACAAAAAAAAAGTTTATAGAGCATGCATAGTTATGATGCTAGACAAAAATTGACAAAAATTAAAGTTTTATTTATTTATTTAACACGATATTATCATTAAAGTATACTTTTGTAATTAAAGCACAAAATTCGTCTGATGGCTTGATTGTAAGGTTTTTGGTCTAATATACCTACCTCTATATAAAAAACGTTGAAAAACCCAAATCGACAAAATAGTTTGAGCTTTGAGAAACAGTTTGGGCTAGAAACCTTACTTGATTGTCAGACCCATTTAATCATACGATTTTAATAATATCAAAAACTAATTTTCAATTTAATGATTTAGCGTAACATATGCACTGCATTTGTATGATTGTAATTAAGAAAGAAAAATTCAGGTAAAATTCAGAGTGCTAATTAGTTTGCAAGTATACGAATGACTCAAATTTATGTATCATGAAAGGAATATTACCAATTTGCCTGATCCACACACTCTACTCAAAAACAATAATTATTATCATACTAAAATATTCAATGTCGATATTGTTGCCATCACTATCATCACCTCATTTATCATTAGTACGATACATAAGCCGACGAAATAATTTTCGACAAAGTAAACGGGACCGCATCGGACCTACCTAATAGCAAGAACAAAACACGCATTAAAAACGTAATGAATACATACGAGAGCATTGCTTGTTACACGGTATCGCAAAGAAAAGCAAGCCTTGTTTTGAGAACAAAATTTCGACTTGATAAACCCATATTAAATAAAACCTAAAACCATTCGCTGGTAAAGGCTTATAATAATAACAATAATAACAATAACAGTAATAATTGTCATAAACATCAATAAACACGAGTCAATAAATATTAAATACATTTCAAAATTTACTTTATTACTCATAGTATCATTATATTTGTTACAAATTCATGTTTCTCGGGATTATGAAATATTATAAAAACCTACCAAATGACGGCTGCCAGCCACTAACAAAACAATTCTTTTCGATAAACTGGAAGAACGTCAAAGAAACCAGTAATAAGAAAAGAAAACGGATAATCGAACAAAAATTTGGAACCAGAAGAAAGGGAAAAGGAATTCAAAAGGGTATCGGCCCACAGTTCTACTTTTACTGAGAGAAAAGAGAGACTGACAAGAGAAAAGCAAGGAAGGATCAACTCTAAGCCAATTCGGATCGAAAGAAATACAAAAACAAAATTTATATAAAAAGAAACGATGAAAAATGTGAACGATATAACAATAAACAATAAAACAATGTAAAAACCTAGCGAATTTCCAAGAAAAGCCCATAGAAAATTTTACTTTAAAACGAAAGAAAATTAACAAAAGAAGTTCCAACTAAAGAAATAAGTACATAAAAATGTTAATAAAATGAAAATAAAGAAAATGACAACAATATAATAATAAAATAATCACGAGAACATTTCAAAATTAAAGGAAAAAAAAAATAACATCATCAAAATAAATATCATATGTATATATATTAATAAAATGGTATATACTTTCTAGAAAGATCTTATGTGGATACAGTCGGAACTAACTGTTAAGATGACAAAACGAATTTATCAGGTAGGTCCTGGCAGAAATCAACAAACTTATTTTTTCAATAATCATGTGATACAAGTTTAATAATAAGAATATATTTTGAATTAAAGAAAAAAAATTATTTCTGCCAGTAATACGTCGGATCTACCTAACAACAAGAACTTATTTTGCCAGATAATGATCAAAAAAATGAGATATCTGATAATAAAGTATATTTTTACAGATTTACTGACCAGGAGTTTGGCCTTTGTAGATCTTGCTAAGTATCATTATATTATTACAGTCTGATAGCTCAGAAACAAAGAAACTTCTTTAGTACAAGATGAAGAATTGATATCAATTAAGAGAAGACAATGAATGTGGGATCACCCTAGTGTTGTAAGTGAGCACTGCTCCGAAGAAGATTTACATAATTGATTACAAATTGATCATTCAACTGCCTTAACACTCTTGTCTAATACCTTTAGGATGTAAAATCAGTAATTAAAAATAAATGTGTTAAAGTGGAATTTTGAAGAAGATGGGAGGCCTGCAAGAGTGGTATATGTCGTATTTTTTTCTAATTTTTTTATTAAATTAGTAACTATATAGAACGTCTAGAAATTTTTTTAATTGTCTACACTGGCCGAAATTCCAAAATTTGCATTCATATTCAAATTTTCCTAGTCGTTTCAAAAATATCAAAATTTACATGCATATTCATCAAAACCTTAATCTATATTTTGATAAAATTGTATGCATAGTTATAATGCGAGTTTTTACATATTTAGTAGAAATAGGCCTCCAAATACTTTTTTCCAAGGAGTGTATATTAACTTTCCGACTCTACTCCTAAGCAAGGTTCTGAATTATTAATTTAATTACTCGGTTGATTAATTAACTGATAATTTTCTTGATCTTTGTTTTAACATTTGTGTAAAGTCATTTAAACCATTGTAATTGAGTTAATTGAGTCGCACCTAATTTTCGCCTCATATTTGTTAAATTAGACATTTCTTTAAATGTGAACTATTCGATCTTTTTTGTTTGGAAACCATTTTTTCTTCTCCTGATTCTTCAACATATGTTTTACAAAGGGGACATTTAAATAAATGAGCGGACACGTCCGCATGACAAATTGTTACGCAGACATTTTGGGACATTGTCCGGGACATGTTCGTGCCCACTCGATATTAGGTGGACATGTCCCGTGTACAACTGATGATTATAATAACAATTCATTCAAATGCTATTTACACCAGTATACCATCGGAATTCACACAATTTATCAATGTCAATATTATTGATTTTAATGGACTTTTTCTGCTGCGCAATCCATGTATGCAGTTGGAACATTGTAACGCTATTGGAATGTTCCAATGTGGTTGGTTCCAATGTAGATGCCAATTGAAATTTGTTGGAAATATTCCAGTGGAAATTATTGAAGCCATAAATGGCACAGCACTGCACAATTTATTATTTAATGTTGATAATCATTGCCTTTTTTAAATAATAATAATTACAAAATTTAATCTTACTACTGTATTATACTTATTAAGCTATATATTATCTGGTTGTTGTCACTGATTTTCAATGATTACAGTATTATTGTTGATATTGTTGTCATTATCATTGTTATTATTATTACTTTGATTTATTACAATCAATTCAATTGGATCATTATCCACTATGTGTTTATTGCAATGACTATCAGTTTTTTGCTCTGAAACATGAAAAATTATATTTAAAGACAACGACATTATAAATGATGTTGTGGTTATCCAGCTCATTACAATTGCCACAAAATAAGTACTACACCATTTCCAGTAAAAATGTTGTACTAATGAAACATCATAACCTATCGCTTTGCATGATAATTTTTTGTCTCCCATATACATCGGATAAAGATTTGTTATGCCTATTATTGTTTTTAAATAAATAAAAAGGTAGATTAGTTGTTGTGATAAAGTCCAAATCAAAAACAATTGTAGAGATTAAACATCTATATGTATTATCTTTCTACCTGATGTAATCCATGATATTGTAAGAAATCTAAAAATCAAAATTTATTAAATATCAATTTACTGAATAATCTAGTCACTAAAGTCATCTTTAATAACAAAATGGTTAAATAAACAACTTACATATCAATCAATAATAAATTTGGACCTCTATTGGCAACTTTCTTAAAAAATATAAAACAATAAAATAATGCAGCCAATGTCAACAATATTACCACATAATACCATATTTTTATTTCTCCATTATACCTAAAAATAAAATTAATTTTGATTAATTGTGACTATAATTGCAATGATAATATACTTTTCACTCACTTTTCATTACGTGAAAAATAAATTGATATTGATGCATCTTGTTTTAGTAATTCACGTAGAAATGACATGAACATAGTCAATTGGATTATTTCTAATTTAATT